CCATCTCAAAAAAAAAAAAAAAAAGAAAAAGAAATTTAAATGTGAAATTAAGAACAAAAAATACACTTATAGAAACAATTTTCTTTAACTTATGGACAATATAAAGCCACTGGCAAAAAAAAAGATTACTAGAGATATCAGTCCATTGTCTTACCAAATAGTGTATTGTTACCATCTTTTACCTACAGCCTGAGTAAGGTGAAATAGGTTAAAGTTAGTAGCATAAAACTTCATTGAATTCACAACGGTATTTAACATGTTAAAAATGTTAAATTGAAAAGATCACATATAATTTATAATTTAAACAATATACTGCATATTATTCCATAGAAGTACAATAAACATACTAACATAATTTTTTTTTTACCCACAAGTTACCCACAAAGAGCCTCTCTACTTAAATCTTCATCATTCATCTTACATTTTAATCTTTACCATTCCATAGAAAAGGTAATAATGCCTGTCTAATTAAAAAAAAAAAAAAACTCTCATATCTTTTATGCAGCAACAATTAGTCACATGCCTTCACATGTGAATACACCAGGAATGATGAAACAGCATGAAGTAATTTAAGAGTTTAAATCCATTATTATTCACTTTTTAAAAATCCTGTAATTTTCAAGGAAAGTATATTTTGAATGTAATTATAACTCTCTAAAAACTATTGTACTTCTTTTAAAATTATATACAAATATTTACGCAAACTTTAGTTCGTATTATTTTCTATACTCAGCACTCTGATTTAGTGTAATGTCTAAAGTTTGAGTGTCCTAGCCATTTCTACTGTGAATCATTCCCTGATATTAAGACTTAATTTTGGATTGAATATCTTTTATATTTACTGCCTCTGCAAAAATATATGTTAGTATGAACTCTTTGGTGTTTTATAGTTTGTAGCTTTTGAAAAAATGTTTTTCCAAATTCTTTACACTTGCAGGGTTTTCTTCAATATAAACTAAAGCAAAATAAATACTCTTCTGCCCTTTAAAGACATATTTTCTCATATACCTTTTGATAGTAATTACACTTTTAATGCTTTTATTTAGTATGAATGCTCTGATTTTGAGTAAGATGTGAGCAGGTATTAATGGCTTTTTTTTTTTTTTTTTTTTTGAGACGGAGTTTCGCTCTTGTTACCCAGGCTGGAGTGCAATGGCGCGATCTCGGCTCACCGCAACCTCCGCCTCCCGGGTTCAGGCAATTCTCCTGCCCCAGCCTCCTGAGTTGCTGGGATTACAGGCACGCGCCACCATGCCCAGCTAATTTTTTTGCATTTTTAGTAGAGACGGGGTTTCACCATGTTGACCAGGATGGTCTCGATCTCTTGACCTGTGATCCACCCGCCTCGGCCTCCCACAGTGCTGGGATTACAGGCTTGAGCCACCGCGTCCGGCCTTTAATGGCTTTTTAACTTTGTCTATATTTGTATATTTGTTCTCAAGTATAAATGCTTTCCTGTGCAATAAGTTGTGAGCATTAGTTAGAAGCTTGGCCACATTGTTCACATTGGTAGTTTTCTCCAGAATGAATTATCTTATCTAAAATCAAGTGTGACAAACATTTAAAGGCTTTGCCACATTTTTTACATTTGTAGGGTTTCTCTTTAATATAAATGGTCTTACGTTTAGGAAGAGTTGAGGACCATTTAAATGCTTTGCTACATTTGTAGGGTTTCTGTCCGGTGTGCATCCCTTTATATCTAGTTAGGTTGGAGGACCATAGAAATGCTTTGCCACCTTCTTCACATTTGTAGGATTTCTCTTTAGTATGAATTACCTTATGTTTAGTAAGGGTTGGGGACCAGATAAATGTTTTGCCACATTCTTCACATTTGTACAGTTTCTCTACACCATGAATTATTTTATGTATAGTGAGGGTTGAGAATTGCTTAAAATCTTTGCCACATCCTATACATTGGTAGGGTTTCTCTCTAGTATAAATTACCTTATGTGTAGTAAGGGTTGAGGAAAGCTTTACCACATTCTTCACATTTGTAGGGTTTCTCTCCAGTGTGCATTCTCTTATGTTTTCTTAGGGTTGAGGACCAAAGAGATGTTTTGCCACATTCTTCACAACCGTAGTGTTTCTCTCTAGTACGAATTATCTTACATTCAGTAAGGGTTGAGGACCATATAAATGCTTTGCCACATTCTTCACACTTGTAAAGTTTCTCTTCAGTATCAATTATATGTAGTAAGATTTGAGGATCAATTAAAAGCTTTGCCACATTTTTTACATTTGTAGAGTTTCTCTATATCACGAATTATTTTGCGTGTACTAAGGGTCGAGTGTTGCTTAAAAGTTTTGCCACATTCTTCACATTTGCCAAGTTCCTCTCCAGTGTGCATCCTCTTATGTTTAGTTAGGGTTGAGAATTGGCTAAACGCTTTGTCACATTCTTTACATTTGTAGGGTTTGTCCCCAGTATGAATTATCTTATGTGTAGTAAGATGTGAGGATTGGCTAAAAGCTTTGCCACATTCTCCACATTTGTAGGGTTTCTCTCCAGTGTGCATCCTCTTATGTATAGTTAGGGCTGAGGACTGACTAAATGCTTTGCCACATTCTTCACATTTGTACGGTTTCTCTCTAGTGTGAATTCTCTTATGTTCAGTAAGGGTTGAGGACCATATAAATGCTTTGCCACATTCTTCACACGTGTAAGGTCTCTCTCCAGTATGAATTATCTTATGTTTAGTAAGATTTGAGGATCGATTAAAAGCTTTGCCACATTCTTCACATTTGTAGAGCTTCTCTCCAGTATGCATCCTCTTATGCTTAGTTAGAGTCGAGAATTGGTTAAATGCTTTGCCACATTCTTCACATTCGTAGGGTTTCTCTCCAGAATGGATTATCTTATGTGTACTAAGGTGTGAGGATTGGCTAAAAGCTTTGCCACATTCTTCACATCTGTAGGGTTTCTCTCCAGTGTGCATCCTCTTATGTTTAATTAGAGTTGTGGACCACCTAAATGCGTTGCCACATTCTTCACATTTGTAGGGTTTCTCTCTAGTATGAATTCTCTTATGTGCAGCAAGAGTTGAGAACCATAAAAATGCTTTGCCACATTCTTCACATTTGTAAGATTTCCCTCTCGTATGAATTATCTTATGGTTAGTAAGGGATGAGGACCAGATAAATGCTTTGCCACATTCTTCACACTTGTAAGGTTTCTCTCCAGTATGAATTATCTTATGTGTAGTGAGACTTGAGCATCGATGAAAAGTTTTGCCACATTCTTCACATTTGTAGGGTTTTTCTCTAGTATGAATTATCTTCTGTGTAGTAACAGTTGAGGATTGGCTAGAAGCTTTGTCACATTCTTCATGTTTGTAGGGTTTATCTCTAGTATGAATTCTCTTATGTGTAGTAAGATTTGATGATCGATTAAAAGCTTTGCCACATTCTTCACACTTGTAAGGTTTCTTTCCAGTATGAATTATCTTATGTGTGGTAAGGTTAAAGGATTGATTAAAAGCTTTGCCACATTCTTCACATTTGTAGGGTTTTTCTCTAGTGTGCATCCTCTTATGTTTAGTTAGTGTTGTGGAACATATAAATGCTTTGCCACATTCTTCACATTTGTAGGGTTTGTCTCCAGGATGAATTATCTTACGTGTAGTAAGGGTTGAGGATTGGCTAAAAGTTTTGCCACATTCTTCACATTTATAGGGTTTCTCCCCACTGTGCATCCTCTTATATCTAGTTAGGGTTGAGGATTGGCTACATGCTTTGCCAAATTCTTTATATTTGTAGGGTTTGTCTCTAGTGTGATTTCTCTTATGTTCAGTAAGTATTGAGGACCATATAAATGCTTTGCTACATTCTTCACACTTGTAAGGTTTCTCTCCAGTATGAATTATCTTATGTGTAGTAAGGTTAAAGGACTGATTAAAAGCTTTGCCATATTCTTTACATCTGTAGGGTTTCTCTCCAGTGTGCATCCTCTTATGTCTAGTTAGGGTTGAGGACCATAAAAATGCTTTGCCACAATCTTCACATTTGTATGGTTTCTGTCTACTATGACTTCTCTTATGTTCAGTAAGGGTTGATGTCCATATAAATCCTTTGCCAAATTCTTCACATTTGTATAGTTTCCCTCCAGTATGAATTTTTTTATGTGTAGTAAGGGTTGAAAGTTGCTTCACAGCTTTGCCATCTTCACATTTGTAGGGTTTCTTTTTAGTATGAATTTTCTTATGATAAGTAAGGGTTGAGAACCAATTAAAAGCTTTTCTACATTCTTTACATTTGTAAAACTTTTCTGTATTATAAATGCTTTTATGCTGAGTTTTATGTGAAAGCATGCAAAATGATTTGACACATATTTTACATTTCAACGCTTTCTTTCCAGTATGTCTTACCTTAGGTCTGTTTGAATTTAAAAATCTATAAAAGACTTTCAAATATTTACCACAGTGAGATACTTTTCTTTGGGTAGTTGTGAAACACTGGTTAAGTCCATTATAACTTTCTTTGTGCATATTATAGTCATCCATACTTTTATAGCTTTTTCTTAACTGTAAATTATCACGTCCAGATTTTTCGTATCTTCTCAGTATTACTTTTTGAAAAGAATCTTCCATGCCCTGCTGTAGCCAAAGATCTTGGGCAAAATGAGGACATATACCTGAAAAAAAATTTAAAAAAATAATTACTCCACTTACTAGACTCACATTAGTATAGTTCTAAAATCTTACCTACAAAATTATATAAACTACATAAACAAGATGGCATTGCAAAATACCATAGGCCCTAATTCTTTCATACACATGTAAATGTAACAAAAACCTACAGACCAAAACACATCCGGGGAAAAATTTATAAATGAGTTAAATGTGTACAATGTCCCAGATAAACATAATGCAAAAACCCACATAGAAGGAAAAGGAAAGTCTGTTAAATTTACCCAACACAGCTTTTCCTCCTTCCCACTATAATATAAGGCCTTTACAAGTAAATTCCCAACTCTTGGGTTCTGTTTTAAAAGAAAAGTAAAATACTAGCACATTCACTGTCATTTCTGGGTTTTAGGGGCTTTTCCTGACACTGGTTTCTGTCTCTGATGACATAAAGTGCTGAAAGAAATGGTGGCATATGTTGGAATGAGAGTTTGAGTCTACTGAGACCAAGGAAAAATGTTACAGCAGCAGAGAGACTGCAGTAAAGGGAGACCACAGAAAGAGAGCAGGTGCAGCAAGTGATTACTGACCCCTACAAAGTAATATGAGTAAAATCTCTTAACTAAAAAATAAACACAAAATTTTAGACAACACATATCCATAAAACATCTTTGAGAAACTCCCATGATCACCAGCCAAGACAAGTGTTTTCAGACTATGCCAGCACAAAGCTGCCAATAGGTAAAATTTTTTTTTTTAATTTTATTGCATTTTAGGTTTTGGGGTACATGTGACGAACATGCAAGATTGCTGCATAGGCACACACGTGGCAGTGTGATCTGCTGCCTTCCTCCCCATCACCCACATCTAGCACTTCTCCCCATGCTCTCTCCCCCCAACTCCCCTCCCCCCACTGTCCCTCCCCTATTTCCCCCCCAACAGACCCCAGTGTGTAGTGCTCCCCTCCCTGTGTCCATGTGTTCTCATTGTTCAACACCCGCCTATGAGTGAAAACATGCGGTGCCTGATTTTCTGCTCCTGTGTCAGTTTGTGCTGAGAATGATGGTTTCCAGGTTCATCCATGTCCCTACAAAGGACATGAACTCATCATTTTTATGGCTGCATAATATTCCATGGTGTATATGTGGCCACATTTTCCCTCTCCAGTCTATCATCGATGGGCATTTGGGTTGTTTCCAGGTCTTTGCTATTGTAAACAGTGCTGCAATGAACATTCGTGTGCACATGTCCTTATAGTAGAAAACAGGTAAAATTAATGTCCTTATAGTAGAAAATAGGTAAAATTAACGCAAATTTCTTTCACCAAATTATTCAGTAGATATCATCTGATATCTGGAATATCAGCCAGCCATGGTGGCTCATGCCTGTAATCCCAGCTACTCGGGAGGCTGAGGCAGAAGAATCGTTTGAACCCAGGAAGCAGAGGTTGTGGTGAGCTGAGACCCAGCCTAGGCAGCAAGAGTGAGACTCTGTCTCAAAAAAAAAAAAAATCTGGAATACCACTCAGTATTCATCAACCAGGATCTAGTCTACCAACTATAAAGATATCTCTTGATGGCATTATACAAATAAAATAAGGCAGTCACAAAGACAGAGATTGTTTGAGATATATAAAGCAGTTACATTCTTAAAAACAAAGAACAGAGTGTTGATTGCAAAGTGCCATAAAACAGAAAAAATTCAGACCAGGCATGGTAGCTGATACCTGCAATCCCAGCACTTTCGGAGGCCAAGGCAGGTGGATCACTTAAAGTCAGGAGTTTAAAACCAGCCTGGCCAACATGGTGATATGCCATCTCTACTAAAAATGCAAAAAGTAGCCAGGCATGATGGTGGGTACCTGTAATCCCAGCTACTCAGGAGGCCGAAGCACAAGAATTACTTGAACCTGGAAGGTGGGGGTTGCAGAGAGCTGAGATCATGCCACTGCACTCCAGCCTAAGTGACAGAGCAAGGCTCCATCTTGAAAAAGGAAGAAAAAAAAAATCATAGTTGTTTAATATGTATTAAGATTTAGCTTTGCAAGATAAAACCATTTTAGCAATATGTTGCATGACAAAGTGAAAATAATTAATATGACTAAACTGAATATTTAAAACTATTTTGTGGTAATTTTTTTGACAAGTAAAAATAAACAATAATACCTAAAAGACATAAGAGTTATAATAGTTTTAATTATATTCAAATCCAAAAGTGTTTCTACCACACAAAAATCATATAGATTCACAAATAAATAGGATGTTGGAATTATAAGAATTTTATGACTACTCATCTACACAAAATTAGAAAACCATTCACAACAAACCTACACAACAAATATACAAGTTACAAAAACAAATACAAGTATAACATTTTCACAGGCAAACGGAGATAATTCTATTAGAAAAATACACATGGCTAATTCATATTTGATTTTGCTCCACACTGCCTTAAATTATACAAAGCTAAATATTGGTGTGTACAATTATAATATACTAAAAAATCAAAACACAATTAACAGATGTGTGGTGGCATACCCTAAAATATAAAACACAAAAATATAAAATTGCAAAACAAAATAAAACATAGAATGTAAAACTTATTAGATATCATCAATTAGATCAATATAATTCATTAAGAAAATCTTAGAAGAATATGAGAAAAAAATAATACAGCAGTTACTTGAAGATAAAAAAAGGTGAGAACTTTCCAAACGTTGATGTAATTTAAAATATTCCTAACCAATAATGCTTGGTTGAAATTTATTTCACTTCAAAAAGAAGATAAAAATTTAAAATTTCCAAAATAAAAGGTGAGGGTGTTCATCACCCACTAGTACAGTTCTAAAAAAAAAAATGCTACGTAGTGGCCAGGCACCATGGCTCATGCCTATAATCCTAGAGTTTTAGGAGGCCAAGGCTGTCGGAACACTAGAGACCAGGAGTTTAAGATCAGATTGAGACTATGCATATAAAAAAAAGAAATGCTAAAATGAGTCAATTTTGTTTAAAAATAAAATAATACTGGACAGTGCCATACCATGCCTGGCTATTTCTTAGAAAAAAATGTTTGTAGAGAGGGTGTCTCCATATTTTGCCCAGGCTGGTCTCAAACTTCTGGGCTCAAGCAATCCTGCTATTCTGGCCCCTCAAAATCCTGACTTTACAGATGTGACCCACCACCATGTTTGCCCCTGACATGTACGTTTACATAGGTGTAAGAAGGTAAATTATATGTGTTTTCACAACAACTATTTTTTGAAAAACTGGAAGAAATACAAAATTATGAATCTTTTTAAAAATTACCTTCAAAACACAAAGGTGCTTTTTTCACACCAAAAAAACACATATTCATCATTAAACACACGGTGAAAATAATACAATTTCCAAGGCTACTCACTCAGACAAGATAAAACCTACATTGAAAATAAGCTAAGAGGTCAGGCACAGTCACTCACACCTATAATCCCCTCACTCTGGGGAATCGAGATGGGCAGATCACCTGAGGTCCAGAGTTCGACACAAGCCTCACAAACATGGCAAAATGTCTACTAAAAGAAAACTACAGGGCCAGGCACGGTGGCTCACGCCTGTAATCCCAGCACTTTGGGAGGCCAAGGTGGGTGGATCACGAGGTCAGGAGATCAAGACCATCCTGGCCAACATGGTGAAACCCCGTCTCTACTAAAAATACAAAAAAAAATTAGCTGGACGTGGTGGCACATGCCTGTAGTCTCAGCTACTCTGGAGGCTGAGGCAGAGAATTGCTTCAACCCGGGAGGCGGAGACTGCAGTAAGCTGAGATCAAGCCACTGCACTACGGCCTGGGTAACTGTGCAAGACTCCATCTCCAAAAAAAAAAAAACCTGCAAAATTAGCCAAGCATGGTGGCACGTGCCTGTAATCCCAGCTATCTGGGAGGCTGAGGCTGGAGAATCACTTGAACCAGAGAGGCAGAGGTTACAGTGAGTCAAGATCATACACTGCACTCTAGCTTTGTCAACAAGAGCAAAACTACGTCTCAAAAAGAAAAAGAAAGAGGAAGAGGAGGAGGAGGAAGTGGAGGAGAAAATGAGCTAAGAAAGAATATATACAAGATAAGCTGTCATCAAAATTAGGGTCATATTTGTAAACATAAACACACACATATAATCTAATTGTGATAAACCACATGGCTCATTTATCTTTTAATTAAACCCCAGGCTGACTTAAAGTATACAAGCAGAATTGCAATTGTCTAAAATTATAATTCATAAGTAAAACCAAAAACACAATAAACTGATGTGAATAACTAAAAAAAAAACACTAATATAGAACTGCAAGATCATAATGAAAGAAATCTTTCATTATGCTTCTCTTTTAAGAAAATCTTAGAAGAAGAATATGAGAAAAAAATAATACAGCAGTTACATCTGTTAACTGTGTTTTGATTTTTTAGTATATTATAATTGTACATGCCAATATTTAGCTTTGTACAATTTAAGGCAGTGTGGAGCAAAATCTCATAAAATTTTATGATTCTCATAAAATCTAGTTGGCAACATTAATGTACGTTAACAAATCATTTGTGTGGATAACTGCAATGTCGGACTGTAACTGTGCATTCATGAAAGGCAGGCATTTTAAATTACTGGTATCTATTGCATGGCAATAAAATTTCAGGGAACATGTAGTACAATCATAAATAGGAGCTGCTAATGAGAAACTTTTAATAGATATTAATTTAGAAGAAACGTGTCAATTTTTTTTTTTTTTTTGAGACGGGGTTTCGCTCTTGTTACTCAGGGTGGAGTGCAATGGCGTGATCCCGGCTCACAGCAACCTCCGCCTCCTGGGTTCAAGCAATTATCCTGCATCAGCCTCCCGAGTACCTGGGACTACAGGTGTGTGCCACCATGCCCAGCTAATTTTTTTGTATTTTTAGTAGAGACGGGGTTTCACCATGTTGACCAGGATGGTCTCAATCTCTTGACCTCATGATCCACCCACCTCGGCCTCCCAAAGTGATGGGAACATAGGCGTGAGCCACCGCACCCAGCCGAAACTTGTCAATTTTTATGTTTTGAATATACACTATTTTTACACAAAATAAAACTACTGTAATCCAAGTTTAGAATTAAAGAATGGTCTTACATTTCTAAATTATGCATATATTTAGTAGAATATGGTTAGAGACTCACATATAAAACAAATTTTTTTTTTTTTTTTTTTTTTTTTTT